GAAGTCCAGAGCTTACCTTGAGCAGAGTAGTATTTTGTGTTGAAGTCAAGTCACCCAGGGCCCTTCACTATATGAGGATGCCCAGGATCACAAAATCCACTGTTAGGAGATAGATAGATGATAGATAGATAGATAGATAGATAGATAGATAGATAGATAATCTTTCTTTTTTTTTTTTTCACTACATGGGATCAAACTCAGGACCTTGTGCTTGTCAGTAGGTAAATAGTTTTAAACCATGAAGCTTTATTACTCTCCTGCCCCAAAGAGTATAGTTTGACTTTCTCTCCTTTCCATAGTAGAGGCCATAACTGACACTACGTTAGTAGTACTGCAACATGAAATTTAGATGCCTAACTGCTTCAAGACAAAATTAGCCATCACACTATAATGTGGAGAGGAACGAGGAGGCCCAGGCCCACCTGTGCTCCATCACACAGTGAGGAAGCTGGAGGAGTCACAGGCCTGTGCCCTACATCTTTGCTGCACGTCCACTTGGAGCACCTTCCTTGCCTACCTTTGGTTTTATTCAGCTGTGTTTAGAGTACCTTCTGGAAGTAATACTGTCCTGTGTTAAGAGCTGTGTGGAACAAAGCAACTTGTAGTAGGTTTTTTAAAAGCTATGCTAAAGAACATTTCCATGCGTGGGCCTGGGCCTCAGTGAGACTGTTTTTCAGCAGATATCAGCAGTAGAGATATGGGCAATGTTTTACTCAGCTTTGGAGTTCATCTCGTTCTTTAACATGCTAAATTGCAACACTGATCACTTTGAAGTGGAAAAAAATGCAAAATTGTGCTTCCCTTTTATCTGTGTGAATCCTTAGGAAATACATTTTTTAAACGTGTGTTCTAAGAGGCTGGTCGGATAGCTCAGCAGATTAAAGCACCTGCAAGCAGGTGCAGGGGCTGAGGGTTCGATCCTTTGGCCTGCTGTGCTGGCCTCCCCCCCACCCCCCGGGGCGCTCTAAAACTGCAATTGAGACTGGGCGTGGTGGCGTGCTCCTGTAATTCCAGCTCTTGGGAGGCTGTAAAGGGGCAGATCACTAGGAGTCCGGTCTAATAGTGAGACCCTGAACAACCTGTAGACCCTTCCCTAAAAAATACAAAAATGAAATATGCATTCTAAATGATCTTTATGGGGCCCAGAGATAGCTCGGCAGTCTAAGTGCCTGCGTAGGCATACATAAGGACCCATGTTCGATCCCCAGCACCACATGACACCGGAGGCACTGAGCCAGCCCCCGAGTCCAGGTGTGATGGTGCACACCTTTAATCCCAGCGCTGGAGAAGCTGAAACAGGAAGATCACTATGAGTCTGAGCTGCATAATGAGACCCTGTACCAAATACATAAAATTAAAAAATTTAAAGCATATTAAATAAATGATCTGTATATGCTGTAGTACTGCTTTGGCAGTGTGGCGCTCATGACTTTCATTGTACCAGGTTCTCAGCTCCCTGCAGTGTGGGGCCAGAAGCTGCACAATGGCAGCAAGGTCTCTTGTCCCATGAGTGCAGTACTGCATCACTAGCATTTTATTTTAATGTATTTAGTACAAGGCCTACAGGGTCTCACTAAGTAGATCAGACTCGTAGTGACCCACCTGTTTTCAGCCTCCCAAGTGCTGGGTTAACAGGCATGCACCACCACACCCAGTCTCAATTGCCATCTCAGTGCACCCAGGGGGCAGGGCCGCCCGGCAGGACCGGTGATCGAACCTCCAGTCCTTGTGCCTGCTTTTAGGTGCTTTAATCTGCTGAGCTTTTTGGCTGGCCCAATAAATAAGGCAGTGACTATTATTCATTAGTAGCCTTTTTGAGATAAGCTATTTAGTAAGTCTTCTCTCCTTTTTACTTTTTTTTTTTTTTGTTCTGGTACTGGGGCTAGAACTCAAGACCTTGTGCTTGCCAGGCAGGCGCTTATGCCACTGAGTTATCACCTCAGCCCTCACAAATACATTTTTAATGAAATCTCAAAACTAAAAAAAAAAAAGTCTATCTTCCAATAATTTAAATCCACATAGACAGGAAACACTTGTGGGCACAGTGACCACCATGCACGCAAGCTGTTTATACAGCTGAAATCTTGGAAAGTTGCTGGCTTTCCAACTTCTCTTGCACACTGGAGGGGTTGCGTTCTGAGCAATATTTTTAAAATCTTAGATTTTTAGAATGTTTCTTGGGACACTTTCACTTTAATGATGCAAAGGATAGACAAGGGAGCCCTCTGCAACACTGCCAACTGAAGAAAAAAGTGGACAATAGTGTCAGAGACCTGCAAGACCCCAAGAGAAAAAAGAAGAGAACAGAAAAGCAAGTATGAAGAAATAACGGCTGAGAATTCACCAAACTGAATAAAAACCATTTCTCCAGATAGCAAAGAACAGTAACAAATATCCAGTAGGATAAACTAAAGGAGAACCACAAGCAGAAATGTCACTGTGAAACTAGCAGATAACTGAGACAAAAGGAAACCAGAAGACCGCAGGGAAAAGCCGTCACAACAGCCACACAACACACAGCATCAGAGTTCCCAGAGTTCCTTTAGGATGAGAGCGGCCAAAGGCGCAGGCCACAGTTCACACTGCTCAGAGAACCTCTGTATTAAAAAAAAAAAAAAAAAAAAAAAAAAAACCTCTTCAAAAAAAAAATAGCAAAGTGAGGGAACTCTCAAATAAATGAGCCAGAAGAATGTCATGAGGAGGCCTGTCTTGTGAAAAATATTGAAAAGAATTCTTTGGGCTGAAATAAAGGACATTGGATAACAATTCAAGTTCATATGATACATAGAATTAAGCTAAGTTCAAAAGAAATAGTTTAATAGGTATGAAATGAAAATTTTAAAAGATAAAATGAGAATTGACCACAGTTTGTTTTGTTTGTTTTCTTATTGGGGCTTAAAATATGGATGCTACCCCTCTGTGGGCTGGGTTTACAAGATTTGCTTTTGTTTCATTCACTTCTGTATTTTTTGTATATTTCACAAACAGATGTTTTGCTTTCTCAATTAAAATTGTCAGTCTAAACCAACCTTGTTCTAGAAATCCAACCAATTGAATAAGAAGTAAAACAAATAAAATTATTTGCTTCTACATTTAATCCTGTATTTAGAGCCTGATGTTGATTGGGTACTCAGCAACGTTCTAGTCAAAAGAACAGAATAGTGGGTCCTTGCTCCAGCTAATGAGCAGCCTCAGGTTCTCTGGGACATACATGCTCAAGTAAGCAGTGGAGGTGTGACTATTGTCAGCCAATGGGAGCCAGAGGCCTGCTCTACTTTCCATACCTTGCTACTTCCTGTCCTCACTCCACCTTGACTTCCTGCCCCAAGAGAGCTAACTCTGTTCCTCTGGCACCAGAAGGAGAGACCAATAGGCAAGGGAACTTGTGGACCCTCATGAGCATCTGTGCTGAGTGGGATTATTTGGACCTGGGACAGAATAGGGTATAGAGATCAAGGGGGCTGAGTCTGCTCCTTCGGGATGGAGCTCACTGGACACTAACCTCTGGAGAAGAGAGTCAACAGGAAGGAATATAATGACTCCACCCAGTCTCACCTCCAAGGCAAGGAAGGCCCTCAAGACCTTGCCAGAAGGTAGCATTTCTCCATAGTCAGAAGAGTTAACAAGCAGACACCAGCACCACAGCTGTGGCTTTAAAGATTAAGGATTATTCCAAGGAAAACTGGCTTAGAATACAGTGTATGCTGTGGCCTCATTTTTATGTAAAAGACCCTAACCCAGGTCTACAAATTTTATTTGGATGCATTGTGGGTTTTATTTTCCATTACATTTTTTATTGTACACAAAGATACATTACCAATATAAAATTATAATATGCAAATAAAGATCTTCCATATATTACTCATCAGAAGACAGAAAAAGTCTCTTCATGCTACACACACTACAATCATGATCATGTGTGTGTGCGCACATGCACACACACACACACACACAAACACACACAGTTCATAATATACCCAGAGACAGCCCTAATTGAAAAGTAGATGTGAAACTATATGAATGAAAGAATGAGAGGGCCAGGGAGATGGCTCAGTAGAATAAGAGCTTGCCTGGCAAGCTCAAGGGCCTGAGTTCAATCCCCAGTTCTGCACAAAAAAAAAAAAAAAAGAATGAATGAACATAGCATCCAAAGAAATGTAGAGCACCTCTATGCTTCAGGATAAACAAAGCTTTATTTGAAAAATACAAATTCCTCCAAATTTAACTCATTTCTATAAGACAAATCCAATAAAATCCCCTAATCTAAAAATTTGTTTAGAATTTGCCAAAATGATTCTGAAGAATAATTTCTGTCAAATTTTCTACAATAAAAATATACCTCTCTAAATATAATCAGAGATTAAATTTCTCAAAACTGGTAAAAATTCTTGCTTTGATTTTTATTTTGTCCACTAAATTAACCAGTTATTTTGACAAAGTAGAAAGAGGTTCAGAAGTTGAATTTCCATCTTTGCCCTCAATGCTTTTCAAGCGTGACTAGTGAACCAGAACTGTCTTGGGACTGATTCCCTAAACCTCTTGATCAGAAATTAAGACATTTGCGCTTGAGCTGGCTCTTTCTTGAAACGGCTAATGTACAGTTGGCATATCTTTACATAAATTCTACCCAAACAACCTCATGCAAATATAATACGAATATCCCACATCATTCCAACTCTTATCAAGAAGGATAGTCCTCCACCCCCTGGACTGGCTTAGGGATTTAAAACAAGGAAATCTTCTCATTTTATTTGGAGAATTAAAGTGCCCCTGGATATGTTTACTGGCACTGTAACAGAGTATTGACAGAACCCAACCTTAGATTTGTCAGGTCACTGGATGAAACTTCTCAGAACAGCTGATGCAGTGATCTCTTTGAAATGATGGCCAAGATAGCAATAACAAACAAATGCCTTGGCCAAGGGAGAGGAAAGGAGGCATTGGTTGGTAGGTTACCCTCCTCTCAAAGATGTACTATAAAAGCTTTGTTTTTCCATGGATCGGCCTCACAAATCAGCAGTGAAATCCCAGAGAAACCATGGGAGCCCTCGGCATCACTATTGCCCTGTTGGTGTGGGTGGTTACCCTCCTGCTAATATCCATCTGGAAGCAGATCCACAGCAGCTGGAACCTACCCCCTGGGCCTTTCCCGCTTCCTATTATTGGGAATCTTCTACAGATGGACATAAAGAATATTCCCAAGTCCTTCACCAGGGTAAGAGAAATATTTTAATCTTAGGGAGAATATAATTCTATCTAACACATGTGTGTTCAATTCATTGTCAAATTGTTGTTATCTAATATTAGCCTGTCATGATTTAGCTGAATAATAATATCTGGTAAGGAGTGGTGTCCAGAATGCCTACCTATGGATAGACAGTAGGCACGGACCACACCGGGAGGACTTGGGTTTCACAGACCCCAGAGGTCTCATGTATTGGCATGATTATGGGGAGACTGGTGTAGCCAAGTTGCCAAGGGCCAGCTCTGATGCCAACAATGCCAGCCTGTGTGATTTCCAAAAAATAGGCTGGATAATGACATGTTTAACTGACTTGTGTTTCGTCAGAGCTGTGAGTACTGTGTGAGTTACCAAGGTCACAGTGTCACCAGGCACTAAGCTGGTTCTTGGTGTGTACATTAGGAAGTGTATACAGAAGGGGCGTTTGGGGCTGGGGCCCAGGGTCTAGGTCGACAGGCAATGCCATGAGGTCTAGATCCTTGATTTTGGAAGCAACAGTAGGGTCACGGGTGCAGGCACTAGAGCAGCAGCCACAGGGAAGCACTTCGAAGAGGCAAAATGTGTGGTGCTGATGGCCTTTCCCTAAATCGAACTTCCTGATGGCTCGCAATAACTGTAAGGGCGGAGGGGGCAGCCTACAGCAGGGCGCTTTCTCTGTGTGCTTCCACCCACTCTCTGTGGTGGTCTCCACAGCTGGCCAAGCGCTATGGGCCTGTGTTCACACTGTACTTGGGCTCTCGGCGTGTGGTGGTCCTCCATGGCTATGAGGCAGTGAAGGAGGTGCTGCTGAAGTACAAAAACGAATTCTCTGGCCGAGGCGAGATCCCTGTGTTCCAAGAATACAAGGACAAGGGTGAGTCTGCTTTCTGGTAGTGACTGGAGGACACCCCTTAGGGACAATGATGGTTACAGACCAGTCAGCCAGCCAAATCCTACCCTAACAATAATAGTGACAGCCACAGAATGATGACAAAAAGACACTTCAGAAAACTGGTGATAGTTTGTACATGGAGGAAAGCTAGTGTGAGTAGCTGTGTACCCAAATGATTGGGACCTCCAAGCACCCAAGTTGACTACAGAAAGGTAGAGCCTGAGCTGGCCTTTTCCCAGAATCCCACCTCCAGCTTGGCACTTGCTGGGATTCTTTGCACTCACAGCTTCAACTGCTCTGTAGTGTAAATGGTTCCACTGACCCAGGTCTCCTTACCTACCACATGGTACCCAAACCTGCTGGGCACTGTTATATGGGATTTTAAATTGTTGACCTCACAGCACATGCCCTGCCTCTTGGTTTCCCTGAACATCTTCCCTGTCTGTTTCTGAGGTCTTGTTGTCTTACAAGCAGTGGCATTTGATCTTCTCCCTCCAGCCCTGGAATTTGTTTTGCTGTGCTATCTCAGTAAAAGCAAAATTAACTGTCTCAGCCCTTGTCATCACCTCAGAAATTGTTGCAGGAAGATTGTATAAGATGGGGTCCCATTGTAAAGAGCACAGTTCTGGCTGGTGACCTTTATCTCATACCATTCATGGGTCTAAGGCATTTATGTGAAGGCAGCAGAAGAGGACCAGGATTTGCCTCTCTGCAGCTTAGGCTCAAGGGGTCTTTGCTGCCTCTGCCTAGGTACCCCCAAAGTCTTACTTCTTTTTTTTCTTTTTCTTTTTTTTTTTTTTTTTTTTTTTTTTTGGTGGAGCAAAGGATTGAACTCAGACCCTTGCACTTGCCAGGGAAGTGCTTATTCTACTGAGCCATCTCCCTGACCCCCTAAAGTCCTACTTTTTAATACATCTCACATGATTCAGATTGACACTAGATAAAGTAAAAGAAGGAGGACAGACGGTAGAAGGATAAAGGCAAGGAGCCCCTGGAGTACAGGATTTCTGCTGAGACTGGGCAGAGTGAATTGGTCCCCAAGGGATGGATTAAAGGTCTTCACAGAGAAGAGTCAAAGAGGACAGTGGTCAAGGTGACTCAGATTCATATCTGGAAAAGAACAGAAATAAAAGAAAAAAAGTTAGATGTGCTGAATTTCAGGGCTTCTGTGTTGCAAGAGGATCCCGCAGGCCACATGCTAGGAAGAGAGACAGAAGAGCAGGGTTCTAGCCACCGAGCAGCACACAGAAGGAACAGTACTGAGTCTGTCCATCTCAGTGGTCCCTTCAGTTGGAAGACCTATGATCCTTGGATCTTAGGCAAGCCACCGCTGCAAAGACAGAGAGCTGAGTTATGATATTAGTATAAGAGTTAGTAGTATAAGAGTTAGCATCCATGAAAACAGAAAGGCTACCCAAGAGTTTTGTCAATATACAGGAAGGAAATGAGAATTCTTTCTTGGAGTGGCCACCTGAAGTTTTATTTGACACAGAAAGATTCAGGGAAAGTAGAAAACATGCCTGAAGAAGACATCCAGCAGGAAACAAGTGTGCCAGAGAAGCCCAGCACACCCTCCCCCTCCCTCTTGAGCTTCCTCTACCAGCTGCACACCCAGCCTGCTACCCCCATAGCCCTGTCATGCTCATTCTCACTGCAGCCGCCTTTCTCTAAGAACTGGGCATTTGAAGTAACCTCTGCTACGACCTCTTCTATAGGAATTATTTTCAATAATGGACCCACCTGGAAGGACGTCCGGCGATTTTCCCTGAGCATACTTCGAGACTACGGGATGGGGAAACAGGGCAATGAGGCACGGATCCAGAGGGAGGCCCAGTTCTTGCTGGAGGAGCTCAGGAAGACCCAGGGTGTGTATCCTCCTGCAGATGGCAGAGGACAGGGGAGGGGAGTCCTGGCTAGGCTCCCAGATTTTATTCAACAACCTGGAAACAGTGGGCAGCTAAAGGGACCCTGAGGGGCCTGCCCATTAGCTCAGGTGTTTAAGGGCTTGCTGAAACAAAGCAGTCAGGCTCAATATCCTGTGGTTCCATCCCCTCATCCTCAAGCTAACCCAGACCTGCCCTGAAGGCATCCTGAGCGGCCCCCAAAAAAATCCTAAAGGGACCCTGGGCAGGAGGCAGTCATGTTGGTCTTCCTGACTTGAGTTTCCAGCTATGCTTCCAAGGCAAGCAAGAGTGGGCTGGTGTGATTGCTGTGTCCCAGGTAGTGCTGAAAAGCAAAGAACACCGAAGGGACCGAAATGTGTACTCTTGTGCTTGTTAAATTTTTAGAATATGTTCCCATAGGAACTGACAAAGACTTACAGGAGACTGAGTTGTGGATGGAGAAAGGTTTGGTGATCGTGGGCACACTCCTCACCCCATATGGATGCTGACATTTTACCTGTTTTCCAGGCAAGCCCTTTGACCCCACCTTTCTCCTCGGCTGTGCTCCCTTCAACGTCATAGCTGACATCCTCTTCCATAGGCGTTTTGCCTACAATGACAAGACAGCTCTGAGGCTCATGCACTTGTTCAATGAGGATTTTTACCTACTCAGTACTCCCTGGCTGCAGGTGAGGCCCTAAATTTTTAACTGCAAACAGTATCAACCCATATGTGCAGATTTTTGCCGCTGAAAGTACACTGCCTCCAAGAATTCCCTCCAGAAGAGTTCGGGCCCCAAATATTCTAAATAATATAATCATGGCAGTCATAAATTCAAGTTTGGGAGTTATTACTTGAGCACACAAAACTTATGCTACATCATGAAAAAATAGTAATATAATTCTCTCCTCAGCTTTACAATAATTATTCAAACTACCTACGCTACATGCCTGGAAGCCACAGGAAAGTAATGAAAAATGTGTCTGAAATAAAAGTGTATGCATTAGAAAGAGCTAAAGAAAACCTTCAGTCGCTGGACCTCAATTGCTCTCGGGATGTCACTGACTGCCTGCTCACAGAAATGGAGAAGGTATCCACAGTCCGCTACGCGAGATGGGCTCACTGGGATGGAGTGGGTGCATGCGCTTCTCACACTCATGTGAGGATCCATTACCTGGTGTCCAGACTACCTACTGTGTTCTTACCCAGACACACTAGGCTTAAGCACAATCACCTCCCTCTGTTCTTCAGACCTGGAGGCACAAGGATGAGTAGGCTGAGCGTGGGGCTCTCATTTCAGCTCCGTCTGGGCAGGCTGGGCTGTAGCCCTTTGGCAATCCTATCTTATCTGAGAAGCCCTCACCATTCCTTGTTTCTACTTATTCCCCTGTTGCGTCTGGTTTCCAGGAATCCCCACCCTTCCCCACCCTTATCTACCTTCCCCTAGGATCTTTCCTATTACTCAAATTGGTGAGGCTTCTACTCCTTTCCTTTGGCTATGGCCTGAAAACATGTGATTTCCATGCTGATGTCTGCTGGACAGCTTCCTAGTCTGTCTGGGAACCCAGCCATCAGTTTAGTCCCTCACTGCCTTTCTTCACTGATCAGCCCAAAGGCTCCAGCCTCAGGGCAGAAGGATTATTCTGGCACTGTTGGCAAAGGCAGAGTCTGGCAGGCTGGATAAGGATCTCTGCTAGTGCCCAACCCATTTCCTGAGAGCCTGTTTTCCTAGGTACGAGGTGGAGATGCTTGAGTCCTGGTTGCACTGTCGCTTTTACCCTAGCTCCTCCATCATGAAGGGCAGTAGGGGTTCCCTTCTCAGCCACCCAAAGACAACTTCTCATCAGGTCCCTGTCTGTCTCCAACTTTGAAGGAGAAACACAACGGCAAGCCTCCTATGTACACCATGGAAAACATTGCTGTCACCTTGGCTGACTTGTTCTTTGCGGGAACGGAGACTACCAGCACTACACTGAGATATGGCCTTCTGATTCTCATGAAGTACCCAGAGATTGAAGGTACATAAATGATAAGCGAGATGCCCATGTGGCATTGTTGAGTCTCACTGCATGGCCAGCCTTGCGCATGTTAGGCTCCAGTCTGCAGATGCTTGTAAACCTGGGGTGCTATGGGATTGCAGGATAAACTGCTTTGAGGGCTTTGTAAATGCACAGCACCTGGTAACTTTGAACCCATACCCACCAGCACCACTGGGTACAGAAAAAGGTCACCCACACTGACGTGGAGGGAGGCAGTGAGTCTGCATTCTACTCTCTAAGTAACTTATTCATGCTAATGAAAGTGATGTTCCAGTTGCCTCTGAGGGTGCTAGTTATCTAGGGTTGTGGCAGTCAGGAGAACGGTTAGGGATCCTCCTGGGGTATCTTGCCCAATGGAAATTAAAGAAGAACCCAAAGAGAAACAACCTCTTGCTCCGGAGCCACCATACTCCCTCCACAAGGCTACAGGAAGCACCTGGGCAGGTAAAAGTCAGTGTCTGGAGGTGCATGGTGGCCTTAGCCTGCTGTAGAGAGGGTCAGGGCCTTACCTGTGCCATGAAGTCACAACACGAGAGAGCAGTCATATGTAAACAGAGTGATAGAACCAAGCTGCCAAACAAAAAAGTGAACCCTAGCGCTCCTGCCACTCACTGGCCTGGGCCCACAGCAGGGCCCAGAGCATACCACCAGAACCATCCCTCCTGCTGATAATAACCTGGCTGTCCTCAAGTCCTGGGCATGATGGCCCCCTTCAGTATGCAGTGTCTTCATGCTTTTCAATTCATGAAACTTGATGTAGGATATGAAGTAATTTCTCCCCCAAAAATGTGAATGCATGAGCAGTCCAAGGTAAGGCCCTGGTCTCCAGTCCTTCTACTGGCAGTCTTTGCTTCCTCCATTGCACAGAAGTATGAATGGTGAAATGCAAGCCCAAGGACAATGTCCCGCTATGCTGTATAGATGTGCAAGGGGTGTAAAAGCTTTTGACCACCTGGTACTAGGGTGGTGCACTCAAAAAACTTTTAATGAATAATTATGAGAAATCTGATATAAGCAAAGATAAAGTAAATATATATCCACTGCCAAAGTTAGCACGAATTAGCATTTTGCAATATTTACTTCAGAACTCTCAAGGAAAAAGAAAGGTAACAGTCAGATAAAACCTCATAGCTTCATGCCATCTTACCTGTCCCTCTGCAGAAATGGCAATGTTTTGATATCACTGTGTCACCCCCATGTGGGACTATGCATATTTAATATTAACTAAATTGCAATGTACAAGTCATTTTACTGTTCTACATGACTTAATATTTTACCTTGGTACCATGCTATATGTACCTTTTTGCAATTAGCTTTTGTCGCTCATAAGATGATAAAGTCCCTAGGAAATAGCAAACATGAGTTAAACTTACCAAAGGATACTGTTACCTCTGGAATAAGGATTTTTTTTTTTTTTGCTCCGAGTGCCTTCAGGCAGGTTTGGCTGGCTGGAGTGTTGTGGGGATCACACTACAGCAACCTGAGCCTGACAGCTTTGTGGAAGCAGCCGCTTAAAGGACTGAGCTAGGGCCAGGCCCCCGATACTGTGACCTCTCTCATAAAAAGCTTTGATTGAGACTTCAAGTAGACTGCGCATGTGTAATTCCATTCTATCATTTCTCTTCATACTTTTAATATATATATAATAAGGCCACCTGGGATAATCATTAATGCAAGGATTTCTCTCCAAGAAAATATTTCCAAGACCCTTTTCTTATTCTCACTCCTTGACATGAAGAGAACTGGATAACCCATCAGCAGCTAAGATAATACATACCAAGCATTCTATAGACTGTATATAATCTCACAGAATTTAGTTCTTATTGACAATTGTTGGTAATTTACCCAATAATCCAAAGGATCTTGGGTATCTTAAGCACTACTTAGTATGCTCCATGAACATCCTCTGGGTGAATTTGATGAAGGAATGGAAAAGTGATTAGATAGATGTAAAGATGGATTGATGGTTGGATGGAGGGGTAGATGGTTAAAGGAATGGGTGGTTGGTGAATAGGTAAGCAATAGATGGGTAGATAGGTGGGCAGGTACATAGGTGTTGGTGGAGAGATGAAGGGGTAATTAGATATATGGGTGGATGATAGGTGAATGTCTAGTTTTGGGTCAGCCCTTCAAATTGATTTCACTTATGTTGGCAGAAAAACTTCATGAAGAAATTGACAAGGTGATTGGGCCAACACGCATCCCTGCTGTCAAGGACAGGCTAGAAATGCCCTACATGGATGCTGTAGTACATGAGATTCAGCGATTCATCAACCTCGTGCCCTCCAACCTTCCCCATGAGGCAACCCAAGACACCATGCTCCAAGGATACTTCATCCCCAAGGTCAGACATGAGCTGAAATACACTGTGGGCACCATCCTGTCAGCCCATCACTTCATCTGCCAAGAGCAGGATAGGGGCCCTCTTTGTCAGATGTGGCTAGAGGCTGGGCTCAGTCAGCTCCCCATCCTGCAGAGTACTGCTTCCTGGGCAGTTCTAATATGGACCTAGGACCAAAAACATAGAGGAATTCTAGAAAGGTACCTCCTCTGATGGCACCTGGAATTAGTAGTAAATTTCAACAGCAGAAACTAATGTCTGCAGCAACGAGCCATGAGGTCCATCCTGTGAAAATTTAGGGGTTTTCTTCCATTTAGACCTGACCGCTGACTGTTTTCTTTTAGTCCTTACCTAACAACTTTTTCAACTAGAAAAATACTCTGCTGTGTCATGTAAAATTCGCACAGCCTTCTTCACTAATGTGCCCAGGTGAAAGACCATGTTTTGGTAACTTGATTGATGGAAACACCTCTGCTTCCCCCAGGGCACAGTTGTCATTCCAACCCTGGACTCCCTTCTGTATGACAAACAAGAATTCTCAGAACCAGAGCAGTTCAGACCTGAGCACTTTCTCAATGAAAATGGCAAGTTCAAGTACAGTGACTACTTCAAGCCCTTTTCTGCAGGTAAGCAGAGTTCAAAGACAGAACTCAGCCTAGATAACTCCTCCTTTGCTCCTCGTCTTGACTCCATGCATCTTCTGTCATGTACCAACATTCCAGAACCAGCACATTCCTCACCTCTAGTTAAAATACGACCCAAAAGTGCTTCTGCTTATTCAGAGAAGTTAAATGACATTTTTGCCAAATGTCCAAAAGATGAGTTGCTATAGATGTTACTTTTTCAGAGGGACATTTTGTCTCCTTCACTGTTAAACTATGTTTCTACTTTAACAGAGTTTAGTGAAAGTCTCTAAACCTTGTTACTAGAAGACAAGGCAAGATCAAAGCTAGCCAGTGCAACTTAGTCAGTGAAATTCTATCTCTAAATAAAAATTAGAAAAAGGGAGTCAGGCAGTAGGTTCAATACTCAGTCTGTCAAAAACAAACATTATGTTATCTAATCATCCATAACTTTAAACACGGGTCACTAAACAGATTCTGATCTTTGGTGACTGGAGCTCATTATAGGAAGCATCAGAGCTATCCTAGGATGTGACTCAGTGGCCCTACTGAAACACTTGGCCCCTTCTCAGGGCCTCCGCAGAGCTTCACTTCAGGTCCTGTTGGAGGAAGATCCTACAGGCAATGTGGTAAAATATCCAGCTTTCATGCTTTGACTTTTATCCTGGCCCCACTTCCTTCCTGCAGGGGGCACTGCATGGCATATTCTTCGCTGGACAGAGACAATTTTTCTTCCTGTTCCTTAACGGGTTTTCTATTTCCTTCAGTAGGTCAAAAGAGTAAATCCTGCTTTAGGACAGAATTTCCCCACAGCCTCCTCCTGCCCTTCTCCCTGCTAGCTCATTGTTCAGAACGTTGTCTTCCTGGGCCTCTGTTTCATCAATGCCATTGTTACTTCTAGGAAAACGGGTGTGTGTTGGAGAAGGCCTGGCACGCATGGAGTTGTTTCTTCTTTTGACTGCCATTCTACAGCATTTTAATCTGAAGTCTCTTGTGGAGCCAAAGGATATTGACCTCAAACCTATCACAGTTGGCTTTGGCAGCATTCCACCATCCTACAAACTCTGCCTCATTCCCCGCTCATAGGTGTGAGGAAAACACACTCTGGAAAATACCTTTCTTCTGAGTGCAGCCTGTGAGAGCCTCACTGGGCCCAGAAAGATGTTTCCCAGTCAGTGAGGACCAGCAGCTTCACAGAACCAAATTAGACCAACACAGACTTTCTAGACTCAATCTTCAGACAACATAAAGCAAAATTCAAAGATTTGTTAAACTAAACTGAGTCTGCTCAAGGCTGTGTAGAAGTCCAGGAAACAATGGTAATAAGAAATCTCTCACTGTGAGTTCAGCTGTATACTTCTGAAAAAATAGAATTTTTTACTCACCATAGTCAATATCTACAACAGACAGATTAAAAGCAGTAGTACTATAGATTAAGTAGGATTTATTAGCCTGTTCAAAAGCAGTTCTATTCCCATCTTGCCTTAGGATATAAAACTGCTCCTTGGCTTCATATGAGCATCAGTCTTATGGTCTAAATTTTATGGTAAAATATGTATCTAACAAGTCAACGTGGCCATCTGTTATTATTTCTTAATATTCAATGTGATATTGTATCTGGAAACAACTTATAGGCATACAGATGCCCTTGGGTGAGATGAAAAAGGATTAACACAACACAAAACTTCAGTGGATTAAATGCTAATGTAGTGAAGTGGAAGAGAAGTTCGTAAAAAGAACACTATCCCCCTTGGTTCCCAAGCCCAAGTGAGCCCTTGCTATGCGTACCACTGGCTCATCTTCTCCCTTGTCCTGTGGAGATGAGAGCAGCCCCTTCCCACTCCACACACTGCCCAGCACACTGTGCATTCTGTATAAATGCTTCTCAATAAAATGTGTGATATTTAAAGCCAGCAGATCAGCCTTTCTGTATCTGTTATCGTCCTGCCTCCATCTCATAAGAATTTCACTGAGCTCCCTCAAAATCCAAGATAATCTGTCCATCTAAAGATTCTGAATTTAATCATTATATTCAAAGTTCCTTTTATCATGTAGAATAACATATTCAAAGTTTCTTGAGTTCAGATTTGGGCATCTTGCAGGGGGGCATTGATCTGTTGAACTTACCTTGTAGCTCATGCACTTTGAGCCACTACTTAAAAAACCAAAGAAGACAGACACATTGACAGATGGAAGGACCAGTGACTCCACTGGAGGCACCTGTTTTTCTCACCATTCCAACTCCACAGTGGCAAAATTCCAGAAGAAATTTATATATTTTTTTCTTCTGTTTTCAGAAGAAAATATATTAAAACATCTTTTTATTTGTTTTGGGTGAATGAGAAGGGTTTCAAGTTGAGAGCTCACCTTAGATGAGCAAACACTGGGATGGAATGTTGGGCTCTTGCAGTTTATTGTTCAACTTATCAAGGCATCAGCTGGCTTCGAGGTGTCAGAGACTGACATCCTGGCAGTGGAATCCCAAAATTCATTGACTTGGTGGATTCCCACATCTGGTTTGTCACAGATCCTGATGTCTCCTCAAAGAAGTGTCAACAGGAGGGGGACTGATAAAGGAAAAAGAAAAAATTCTTTGTTTGCTGGTTGAGAAGTGATCAGAGAACTGGGATGGGAGGTTTGATTCTACTTACTCCAAATGGATACATTCAAATCCTGACACTAGCCAAAACTCTGCTCAGCACCAGGCTCCTCTTGCAGGTGATAAAACACCAGTGGTCCAGGCTATAGGTCATCCCCAGCATTTGATTATTGTTAATGTTTTCCCCCAGTTACTCACAAGGATCTATAGGATAGTCTTGGATGATTCCCACATCTTCCTACTCATGTCTGATGGTGCTGCAAAATCCACCATCACACCACACACCACATCCTTACTGGCTACTGGCCCTTTGTGGCCTTCCTGACAGCCCAGGCCATTCCTCCTTCTATGTCTGTCTTGGAAGCAGCGGTGTGCAGTGCAGAAGTGCAAAGCATCAGGGACCTCCAAACAAGGACATAGGCATCTTCATTTTTGAAGGAACATAATCCAGAGCTCAGAAGGATGGATGAACAAGAGTGCTCCAGTGCTTCACTGCACCAGTGATATTTGCCATAGAAGACACACCAGCAATCCCTGAGTCTGCGCCTTCCATTCTCTTGGCTCTCCAAGCTCTAATGCTACAGACATTCCTAAGCTTCACTCTCTTGAAGTATGATTTCAGACATTGTATAAAATATCCTTGTGATTTCAAAATAACTTCCACACACTGATTAATACCGTAAGGACCCCACACTCATAACAGGCCCACTTTCTCTCAATAGTTCTCTTTTTTTAGCATTCCTGAAGAATAATTTATACATAAAAAAATCCATTTGAGATATGTATTGGGAAGAGGCTTCATGCATACAGAATTATGAAGATGCTACAACTGTCAAGACATTATTTTCAGAATCTCAGGATTTGCTTCATGTCCCTGTGGTAAGTGCATGTCCCTCGGTTCACACCTTGATGACCAACTTGGCCCAATTCCTACAGTGTTACTTCTCCAGCACACCACACACATCTTGTCACCCACTGTGTGGCTTTTGGTGTGTTTATATTTGAGTTCTTTCACTTGCTATTGCACTTCTTGAGATTCAACCATGTGTTGTGTGAATTAACATTGCATTTTTTGTTGCTGATAGCATTTTTGCATGAGAATAGGTTAATCTGTTATTCATAACACTATATTCTTTCTAGTTTGTATCAGTTGTGAATAAAGATGCTATTGACATGCAAAATTGGAGGCCTGCATATTTTCTTTTCTCCTGAGAAAATACAGAAGAATAATGATGTTGAGGCACATAAAAGTATATGTTTATGGGCCCAGGGAGATAGCTCAGTAGAATAAGCACTTGCCTGGCAAGCACAGGGTTCTGAGGTCAATCCCCAATAACACACACACAAAAAAAAGTATATGTTTCATTTTTCAGAATTTTGTCTTCTTGTCAGAAACATACAAAAGTGTTAGTTCCTCCCTGCTGTGACAAAACTTGGTACTGGCATTGACCATCTTTTTAATTTTAGATAATCTAGTACACAAGTAATGGAATCTCGTTGTGGTTTTGATTTGTATTTCCTTGATAACTACTGATGTTGAACATTTTTCTGTGTGGCTACTCACCTTTTTTTTTTTCTTTTTTGAGAAAAGCAGTTTGTTAATCCACCTGGTTTCAACCTCCATGTAAGAAAGAAGTAAAAAGGTGATATTTTGATAACCTCGATTTTCAAGTTCAAAGTTGTTTAGTCTTTCTTCCAGTATTCGGAGAATATGCAGACCTTATTCACTTTCCATATAAAAAAAAATCTGTCTAGTTTATTTTCTCCTTTTTTTTGAATTTTATTTATTTGTGTGTGTGTGTGTGTGTGTGTGTGTGTGTGTGTGTGGCCAGCTCAGTCCACCAGGGGGCGGGGCTGGCTGGCATGTGGTGCTGGGGGATTGAACCGTGGTCCCTGTGCTTTGCTAAGCTTGTTCTAAGTAGGTGCTTTAGACCACTGAGCCATCTCACCAGCCCCGATTTTCTCCTTTTTAATAGGTTTTTACGTCTTGTTTTTCTTATGCTATGATCAGCCTCTTTCCAGTATTGGTTTGTACATTTTCATTCATCTCTAGCTTGTCATTCCATTTCCTTAATAGAGTCCTAAGAAGAGTAAAAGATTTTATATTTTATGGTATATTTGTTTCTATAAGAATGTTTTGTAACTTGATACACTGCCTTGACTCTCTAGATGCTAAAGAGAAGTAGGAACAGTAGGGACATTCACCCTGTTCACTAGTGGAAAGTCTTGGATTATTTGCCACCATAAACACTGTTTAATATTTTGTTTTGTTTTGTTTTTCTGTCTTTTTGAGACAGGGTCTCGCTGTGCAGTGTAGGCTGGCCTTGAACTCACTCACTTTGTAGGCCAGGCTGGTCTCAGACTTTTACAATGATCCTCCTACCTCAGCCTCCCTAGTGCTGGGATCACAGGCATACACCACCAAGCCCAGTATCCACCATATATATTGTTGGCTGTACCTTCTGCCAAGGTAAAGATGTTCCCCATTAATTCCACTTTATCGACTTCCCAGAATTCATTGGGGCCATGCCTCTTTACATAGTCCAATAGTAGAATAGAGAGAAAATAAAACTCAGTGGTTTTCTACAAATCAGGCAACACCTAAGGAATGGGTGAACAGCAACCAGCTTCACAGGGAGCTTGTATAGAAGTGAGCATAGTGTGCCTGTGAATACATGCTCAAAATTTGAGATCCTATACTAGCAGATGACTGTGAGTGAAGATATGCCCCACAAAAAAGACCAAGTGGGAAGGAAAAAAACGCCATTATTTTATGTATTTTATTTTATTTTTATGTATTTAATACAAGGTTCACAGGGTCTCACTGCACAGATTGGACTCATAGTGATCCTCCTGTTTTCAGCCTCCTAAGCACTGGGACTACAGGTGCACGCCACCATGCCCAGTCTCAGTTGCCCTCTCAGCGTGCCCTGAGGACAAGCTGGCACAGCTCGCTGGGGATCGAACCCCAGTCCCTGTGTCTGCCTAAGCAATCGCTTTAATCTCCTGAGCTATCTGGTTGGCCCTGAGAATGTTTTTATCAAGAGCTCACAACCAACTGATGCCTTGACATTGGGTCAGGACTCCCAAAGTTGTTGGTATTCTCCAGAACTTTGCTTTCAGTTTATACATTTTTTAGCTTTCCATAGAGTTATGGTTTGTGTCTAGTTGTCTCTCCAAAGCCTCATGCAGTCATGGGGCAGCTTCTGGAGTTTGTGAATGAATGTTGTGAGTGTGAATGCTGCGCTTGCCCTGGGGCAGGTAATTTGCATTACAATGTAAGGAGGGGAGGGAGGCTAGCTAGCTGTCTGAGCTGCTGCCACTGCCTTTGCTCTCCTGCTCTTCGCTGCCACCATGAAAGGTTGTTCTGTGCCATGTGCCACTCTGCCTTGGAGCCAGCTGAGCATGAACTGAAACCTCCACTGACTGTGAGCTAAATAAACCCTTCCTTCCTTCATTTTGGGTGTCAGGTATTTGTCTCAGCAAATACCTGAGAAGAGTAACTGAGACACATAGTACCCACATTACCTCTTTTTCAGGAATTTTACAAGAATATTTACATTTCCCAGACACTGTTGACCATCTGCCTATCGTGGGGCAGTGTGGTTTAAAGTTTGCCCTGTTCCCCAAGTTGTCCTATTTGTTCCTATTTTATGACCCTGGTTTTCTCTAAGTAGGTTTATAGTTAGCTACATGGAAAGGGGTGAGGGAGTGAGTTTATCTATAGTTTAAATGAATATAAGTAACCCTCCTTTAAAATGGAGTATCTTTTGCCCCATCAGTACCAATTTACCAGGCTACCTGTGCTGCTCTCACTATGAGGACACAAAGGCTTGGGACACAGTGTAGCCAAATAGTTTGCATTCAGGCATTGAGATTTAAAGTAAACAGAATGTTATAGGCACTCATTGAGCTATATAGTTTCGGTATCACGATGTAAGATTGTATGCACATTGATTTTACTGTTGGGCAAGAATTTGACTCTGTATTCATTGCCTGCATAGAGACTAAGCTGAAACACTTACTATATAGTTATCCTAGTAGAATGTAGACTCTAGAACTATAAGGTCAACCATGTGTGTTCATGAGTACCCACACCTTACACATGTACATACACAGATGCACACACATCCCACCAGGGGTTCATAGTCATATGGTCACACATGCACTCACATGCACACAAGTATACACACTCTTCTCAACCTGGAGCCAAGCATCTTTAGTACCAATGGGGCTCAACCTATCTAATCAAGAATCTTTCAGATAAAAATCTCTGAGGCTCCCTTAAAATCTGAATATAAATGCTACTGAAAAGTC